TTGTTATATGTGCGATTCATGGTTGTACGTGGGCTGGGATACTGCCAGGGCGCCCACACCTAGACAGGAGGACGATTAGGGTCCTCAACCAAAGCCTTTGGCTCAAAAGCCTAACCGCAAGGCAGCGGTGTTTGGCGGGGAAATGCAAATGCATTACCTTTTCTACGGAACAAGTCGCCATACATGTTCCAACCCCCAACCTGGAGGACCAGGAGACTGTGTTCGTCTGACCTCTAACCATTGACCAACCTGGTATGAGAGACTCTGTGAGTGTCGCGCGGACACCCCCCAGTATAGCTCAATGGGTCGCCGAGGTACACAAACCGCCACACCACGATAAGGTCCAGTCTCTTCGTGTCGGCCCTATCCTACTCCCCAGCCACAATATCTCACGTGAGTATACAAATGGCCACACACAAAAGCCTGAGTAGCGCTTGGCAGTTTGTCTTTCAACTGGAAACTGAGAGTGAGGCTGTGACTGGAACTCAAGTGCGGATTGGTGGCCATAGACAACATCTCAACAGAACTTCTGTCTTCTGATAACTAGCTCAGCAACCGTGCCTCCCTACTATGAATGCAAGCAATATCAGCAATGGGCTTAGCAACGTTGAGCGTGAATTTTCTTAGTGAAAACCGCTAGTGTTACAATGACTTCAATGCAGAAACCACGCATTTCAAAGTCGCACTTCTTGTAACCTTTGACTTCCCCGTGATTTGCGTAAATACTTCCGGCGGTTTCGGACAGTACCCTGTACAGCACTGCCTCTCGGACAACCTACTGGAGTCATGATTGGTCTACCGGAGTGATCCCGTAAATAAGTGTACTTACGAAATGCGCAATCACTCCAAACTGACCGAAATGCTCCCGTGGTTAAGGCGCGAACGTGCTGTCTGGAATGTCGGTGTTTCGAATCCAATCCAGTTATGTCGACTACCTCTTTCTAGCCTTTGGCAACCTGGCAGTATTTCGGCCCTCATGCCCCCTTCGGGTAGCATAGCAGCTATGCCCCGAAAGGGTGCTGCGGCTCAACAACCCATTCATTCCATCCATTCATGCATTCATTCATTCACCATTCCAAACTTGAATATGGATTTTTTCCGAAAAATGCCTCGTGTGGCCCTCCGAAAACGAAATGTCTGGAATGACTGTATATCAGGAGAGAGGCAAGCAGAACTTTCATTCAGTACTAGTGCTCTCCTACTGCTGAGAATGCCCCACGAATTCACTGGAGGAAGCCCCGACAGTGAGTTACCGGTACCAAATGAGCCACAAAAGGGACGAAAATAATTTGGGACCAACGTGTTGATGTTGCAGCGCGAAAGGTTTCTGTACGGACCACAAAAATTCGTATGGTACTTCTGCGGAGCCTCATCCTATAGGAATCTCATTGTATAGTTTAGCGGGATACCTGTACGTAAATATTTTTCACAAATCTTCACAAAAACCCTGTTTAGGCCGGGACATGCAAAATTAAGTTCCTTTGGCTACTTTTGACAGGTTTAAGTTTACTAGCACGTTGCTTTCGTTTTTCTTTTACAGTCGCCGGAGCCAGTCTGCGTCAGACACGCAACGTCGAACATTGGATGGAGGTAAGTGGCGTGTCATTCGGTTTGATAACAGTCTCGCCTCGTTCCTCGTCATTTTAGTTAGCCACCTGTAGACTGAAAGTTATCTTTCCGTGAAGTTTAACCGGAATTTTTCCAATATACCGGCTCCAGTTTGCTTTAGTTTTATTTTACACACTTATCCATTGGTGCTAAATCATTTTGATAGGATCGGACCAGTGACACCGTCAGCTGTGGTCTACATTCTGGTAATATAGTTGCTGATGTTGGTGTGGTCTTGCCTTTCCAATGATAATGTGCAGTCGGTTAACGAAAACAGTGATGTTTTATGGAATGTTTGTGACAGTACGACAGGCTGAGCGAATTCTGAATAGATTTATCGCAACTTATCACAACCCGTTTGGTATTGTTCGTTGATTGTCTACCAGCAGCTTTCCGAGTGGCGCAAAAATATTGTCAATATTAAAATTTTCCTTTGTAGTAGTCTCGCTGTGGCATAAATCATTTGATTTATTCGCCTTGCTCCTTCATTCTGTTGCGCTCTGTAGCTCTTCCGACTGTATTCCCCCCTGAGGCCTTCGAGTAAAACTAGCTTATTAGGATTGTTGGTCAAAACGAGCGAATGAGAGTTGCGGCATCGCGGTACGGATGTCAATTTGCACGCTGTGACACTTCGTGCAACTCAAAGGAAGCAGGAGGACTTGGATACTGCCCAAGCCGGGACAGGAACAGTCGGGGTTAGCTTAAAACCACAGACTCAAATTTTCCGTGCACACCTACGTCAATTTACTTTGAATTTGGCACTCCAGAGTGGCTCAGAACTTTGAAAATGAATCATAGAATACACTCATTCCCATTTAAATTTGATCTTCACGGCAGACCGAACTGAATCTTTCACGATTTTCTTCGGCTGAATTTGTTTTACCAGGCCACCTCATGTTTCCGTTGGTAGGACGCACCAGTATCGCATTACACTGTATAGACCTAACTCAGGGGATCGCTAAAAACTTTTACCTAATGAACGATCTCGCCCTTCTTGGGGCTCATCAGATAGGCGCAACCCCCGAGTTTCCCTTAACCTGTTCTACTTGAACCCGGATTGCACGAAATCAACGAAGTACATTGATTTGCATACCAGTTTTTTTCACACTAGACCCAACGGAATCTCTTTATGTCGTTTTTCAGTTTGGTCTCCCGTGAAATCCAAATTGATATTCGAGCAATTCGGGTTCAGTTAGCACATAAGGTTAAGGAAACCCAGGGACTTCGTCTACGTGATGATCCCCAAGAAGGACGAAATCGGTCGTGGGCTGCGGAAGTTTTCAGCAACCTTATGAATGGTGTTTGACGTGGAGTTTATAAGTGCCTTCCCGACGCCGCCACCCAATTCCATTCGGTTTTGGTCGAGAACCCTAATCGTCCTCCTGATTAGGTCTGGTTGACTTGTCAGTATTCCAGCCCGCTTACAACTGTTCGGCGGTGAAGTCCCATTGTTCTCATTTGCTGTTGCTGTTGATGGCTGCCAATTCATTGACTACCACTGCCTCGTGGGTCACCTATGATGTTAACCTTAACTGGATCCATGTCCACCACAAGACGAAGCAGGAAGGAGCGGAGTAGGTTTCAAATACACTTATCTGTGTTTTAACAACATAGTTTGTGACTGGCGGTTAAGATAGCCATGTTTCACCGAATCAGACTCAGAGTTGTCTGCAACCAGGCAGCAGACGTAAACAACACCCGTACAATATGAAGTGAACCGTCATGTGGTCACCATCGTAGACGAACCTCATCGAAAGAAGCCTAAAAGCTGACGCCCCTTATTCATAACATTGGATGTACATCTTACGAAAACAAGGGAGGTAAATTTTGAACAATAAGAGTGAACCACTAACGCGGAAGGTTTGTGCGCACTTCGAGATTCAAAATGGTACGTGCGAATCTTATCGTTATTAGAGGTATTTGCCAACACAACACTCATGACCTATCACCAAACTGTCCACATACCTACATCCCCAAGCAACCGACCAAATATTCCTTAATACAAGGGGCGAGATGGCCGAAGTGGTTAGAGCGCGGATTACTAACCTGAAGGTCCGCGGTTCGAATCCGACCTCCGCCACTCGACTTCCCCTGTCTAGGCTTGGGCAACCTGGCAGTATCCCAGCCCTCGTGCTCCCTTCGGGTGGCATGGCAGCTAGGCACCGGAAGGGTGCTACAGCTGAACGCTTTATCTTTATCTTTTTCAGGTCCGGTGGGAACATCGGATTAGTAATGCTGTTGTACGCCAGATGGTCTTGGGAAGAAGGAACCCTCACGTGATAGATGAATTCCTCACGCTTCATAAGTAGTTCGATGGCCGTTGAAATCGATTGGCAAGCATATTTTGCACTCTACTCAAACGGCCACAGTCACGGGGACATCCTGGGGGGGGCCAGTTATGTCAATAGCTGTTGATGCGATTTGTGAAGAGTCCTCGATTGAATTCACGTGACTTCACTGCTCTAGACTGGATGTTAGAGTTCTATCACGGATGCTTCCCGTTACTTCATTGATTGACAGCATGTAGGATGTCTTGCCGACAACAGTTTGACGACCAAGGCTGGGGTATGATGAGAAGCGCTTGAGTGGTTGACAGTTTAGGTGAGGGATAATGAGGGTTTGATCGCATATCGCTCCTGTAGTAAAGACCGTGATTATTCCCCAGACGATAATGGGAGCTGTCTACTGCCAAACAATAATGGTTGTTTTCTAAATAAGTAAACATTTGGACGCCATGTTTCCAACAATCCTTTATGAAATTCATTGATCCCATTACTATTCGTGTCTACCAATGGACAGGAAGGTTCATTCGAATCCCTGCTCTGAAATGAACAATGAGAGGACGTATTCTGTAGGTGGTTACTAAAAACGTCTCCTTCTAACACGGCGGCAGATACAGAAACCCACTGGTAAATGTTGGTTGGGTTTAAACTGTATACAGGTGGACGTTGGTTCGTTTCGCTACATAATTTTGTCCGGTGCAGTCTAAAATGAGAAGTACCTAATTAAACGGATTATCAAGCGAGACCACGCAACCGAACCGACGCCATTGAGTCCGCCACCTCACATGGAGTCGACGTAGGGAAGAAACAATCTTATGAGCTATTTTCCAAGGGAAAACTGCAGTCTGCATCGATTGATATCCAACTTCTGTACTCATTCATTCGGGTGCCCCCGCAGGTCGCATTAGGCATGGACACAGCAACCGTTCAACTCGAACGAGTTATTTGAGCTGAAGCCAGGCCTCATACCAGACAGTGGTGCCTAAAACGTTGCGCATATTGTAGATCACTTAGTCAGGAGCTTGTGCCCTAAAATCCGCGCCGTTACTCAATGAATGTTACAATGTGCAATGGTTTTGTGATCTTGATGGTTTTCTCGAATTTCTTGTGCCTCTAGGCTTTCTCCTATTTTCTTTTTCATCCAGCACCCGTCCAAATTACCGTTACAAACAGCGGCTCCCGCGCAAATGCTGTCCCTGCAGTGTCAACCTCGGTCCACACGGCGCCATTCAACCCCGGTGCAGCTGCCATCATCCATCGAGTTGACATTCCGATTATTTCTATGAATATGCTCAATCTACCAATTCCAGCATTCTTCGAACACGTTAACGTCACTACCACTCCACCCTCTACAACTTCCTCACAACAAACTGAGCCTGTGATCTCAACTGCTACCTCAGATTCCACGATGACCGCCACCACCACGACCACTACAAGTAGCACGACTACGACAACAACACCCGTACCGCGACCGTCAGATTCAACGGAAAGACATGCTGACCACGACCCAGACAGTATTCCTCCACCCAGCGTGCCTGCCGTAGCTCCACACCCACCAGGTTTCTCACCTGGACCAACTGATCCTTTTCTGCTCTGTCACTCACGACATTTTGCGCATGAACCACACTACCGACGTTCCACGATGGGTGGATCTTTTGGTATTCCCGTACCACTCTCCTCAGCAGTGCAGTTCATTCCGACTGGTGCCCCATCTGTGCGGACTGCCGGTGTGCCTCCTTCAGCTTCCAGACCAACCGCTCAAAGTTCGGACGTGTCTCCCTCGGAACAGTCATCTACAGTCCCTGAAGGCCAGACCGATACGGTAGGTTGTTCGCCAAATCGCTTGTGAAGGCTGATTTTTAATCTCACACGTGAACTCTTAGCTTCCACCGATTTTGATAAGGTCTAGGCTGTGAAAGTTGCACTCCAGTGAGCACTTCAGCTATATGTTTACCTTTCACGTTCTCCATTAGCCTACCGACAGTGCAAATCGCACCACAACTGGACCTCAGGTGCGATCGACGAACGTGCCGTTTCCGTCTGATCTGTCACAACAAATTGCCGGCTTCATTTCGGCAGCCACTAATGCGGCCACTTCAGCTGCAGCTATGGGTGGCGGTGATGTTGGTATCGGCCCATTCAACGTGTTTCTTACGTCTTCTCCAATGCAATTCAGCGTTACGGCCAATCGATCGGCTCCAAGAACAACAACTGTTGCCTCGGATGCAGCCACAAGTGACTCCACACCGAATGTCACGACCGCCACCACAGTGAGTAGTGGTACTCTTTCGGGCGGCAATACTCAGCGCTTTTCTTGGTTGTTTGGTGGAGAAAACCCCCTGATGCCTACCATGACCATGGCCACATCACTGCTGCAGTCCTTCCAGCGGGGAACTGCTCATCCGGGTAATTCAGTCACTTTACTACTCAAATTGTTCCTTCCCCATAGATATCCTGCATCCTGACGTCGCTAAAAATGTCTGACTTGTTTAACTTGGTCATTCATCCGTCCACCGAATTCTGTCTCGCGGTGGTTATTTTCACATAGTTAACTTGCTCTAGTCCATGTTTATCTTCATATCCCTGCTACACGTGCATTATAAATGTAAATATTTCAAGGGATTACTGAAGTGACGGAAGTAAGAGAGAATGAATAACTCTTTGACTGGGAAACATCTACTTAACACTACCTCGACACCGTTATCTTGTCTTTTAACGCCACTCTCTTGTCATATGGTATGATAGGATAGGGACATTCATTCACTCAGTCATACACAACAGTATTTTCTAGGTGACATCTTAGTGGAGGGTTTTGCCACACCAGTTTGTTCAGCTGTGTCCCTCTTTCGGTACGTAGCTGTGGTGCAACTTGTAGACTGGAGAACTTCCAGGTTATCCAAATCGGGGAATCGCGGAGTCAGGCTACTGTCGGATTTTTTGTCTTGTGACCCAGGTGCGGCCAACTGGTATGACTGCATCCTACAGCAGCTTGCGTCTTATGCGCATTGCCATATCGTGTTCTTTGGATGGACCGGTCTCCAGCACAGCTGTTTCCTCTGAACTGACGACTCTTGACCAATCGTTAAAAGCGCTTGCAGTGGAAACTTTCTTCTCCAGAAAGTACTTTTCGGCGCAACAGATCGATTCAAGTTGATCCCTTGAAGTTGGCAACTTGATTACATGATCTCAGAAGTCATTAATGTGACAAGCTGGCGAACCTAGCTTTGTGCATCAATATTTTCAGGACAAACTAGCACCACTTTGTACGTGCATTCTTTGATGGAATTTTAAGTGCGTGATAAACTGGGTTGGACGGGTCAGTTGATCCGATTCGTTGTCCTTGACTTTAAAGTCCACCGTGATCGTGAAAAAAACCAGTTTAGGCTTCCATTTAAGAGGTGAAGTGTGGTGCATGGTTGGAAGTCGGTCACTTACGTGCGTATGCATATGCGGGCGAACAGCTTACCTGTATTTTTTCACCACTGGCGCAAATCTACACGCAGAATATTCTCTCACTGTCTCATTAATCCTGAGATTTATCATTACATACTCGGGAGAAGCGAGGCAGACTAATTAGACACTGCACAGGTTACGGTGTTCGGTGCACATGCCAATTGAGTGTTGACACTTTATCTGGCCATGGGCGTGGTTGAAGTCAGAATAAGCTTCGGAACCTGAAATCACTGCATAGGCGCGTTAGCAACTGCAATCTCCCCAAAATGGACTCCGTGATGAAACACTGACACTGATGGAACACTGACAGATCACGTTCAATGGTGTTTGCACATCAACACCATCGCCTTCAACGCGCTACCACGCAACCCTGTAGATCAATGGTTAGACGGAGCGATTCAGCGCAACGGTCCTTTACCAACTCCATATATAGAGAACAGATTGAACGGGAGCTTCCTTGCGTGTTTCTCCCTTTTCCCCTTCTTGTCGACGGAACTGAACGGAAAACCATGGAGTCGAACTAGAAAGGAGGCGTCACTCTCAGTGTTTGTTCAGTATGTGTCCCTCAAGTTCCGTCGTCTTCACAAAGAATAAAGTGTTGACAATTATCAAGTGCGCTTTCGATATTGCATAGTAAGATTAGTGGCAACTGTTGTATCCTTTTCTGCTTGACTCGGTCTCCCGAACACTGTGTATCATGAATGATGCCCCTCACTTCGTAGTTGTTTGTACCTTGAACTTAATCATATTCTTTCCCATTGTTGTCAGGAGGTGAATCCTCTTTACGTCATTTTCTACGGAAAAAGATGCTATTGTGATTTCGCTGACATGTAGCAGAAAATTTGTAGTTTGGGTTGTGAAATTAGTGGTTGAACTTTTTGCTGGAGTTGACCTAATGCCACTGCGTCATCAATGCGAGATGGCTCAATGGTTAGAGTGCGGATTTACTCCCCGGAAGCACGTGGTTCGAACCCGCCCTGTGCATCTTGACTTCTATCTAGGCTTGGGCAACCTGGCGATATCCCGGCCCTTGTGCTTCCTTCGCATGGTATGGCAGCTAGGGTGTTACAGCTGAACGACTATCTTTTATTGCCACTCAGCGCCCATACACCGACACCTCCGTGCCACGATTCATCGCCACCCCACTAACGCGCTGTTGGTGTCACCTCGGTTGGTGGCGAAACGTTTGTAATAAAAATGGCCAAGGCGGGCGAACAATTTAACTAGCATCTCGTTTTCTTCTACACTGCACACTAGTGTATGTCTTTCTTTTTTTATGTTTTTAGCGCCAGCCGCAGACATCAGTCAAACCAGGACGACAGTCCCACCCCCTGTGTTGACTGTACCGAACTGGGCTACCTCATCTGAGTCCTCCACTGAGGTCACTAAGCTGGATGGACTGAACCTCCTNCCAGATCGGTAGGGTTTTGTGGACACTGGTTGGCAACGTTTGTGGATGTTAGCTGCCGAACACCAAAGTGTGGACTTCCTGGGTTAGTCGTACTTGTGCATATCGTACCTTCCGATTGTATGATGCACTTCTAGGGAAATTATTGTTCTAAATAGGTATGCTTCTATCACACAATGGTCATTGTGTTGTTTGTCATTTCGTGGAGACTAAAGTCTGTTATGACAGTGGAGAGGTCGTGGCGTTTAACCACCGCTTTCCCGGAAGTCACTGGTCGGTAAATTCCATCATGTTGGAAACTAACGGTTTACTCGACTGAGACTCTGGAGCAAAGCTCAATCAATGCTTAGTGAGGCTGGTTGGTATGGCCCGATCAGGTTGCTGGTGACGCCGTTGCCCTCAGTACCTTGACCCGAATGCGTTTTCGAACCATAATCAATATTGATTCCGTGTCTATGAAGTGACGACGTTTCAGTGCACAGTCGTTCCTTCCTCTTACCGGTGGATCGAGGCGTAGCAAATGGGAGCAAATTACCCTTGATCTACTCTGTAAAACGCTGAATAATCTAATAGAAGTCATAAACTTCTTGGGAACAACTCGTGTAAACACTGGTCAGCAGAATGGAATACCTCTTCGAAATTAGGGGGCACCCACATTGTTGGCACAATCTTTCTGACTTTCTTGTTCCGGACGATGGCTTCAAATTAAGTCATATTGTAACGAAGATTAAATGACCTAACATCAGGGGTCAAACTCCTACGTCCATTACGGTCGCTCTTTTTCCAAATAAGCACTACCATCAATACTTCTCAGTTTACTGCGAGAACTAGAATATCACTTCCATCGTTGAAACAGCGACTCGGTGGTGTTGAAAGCAACGAATACATTTGAGTTCCGGAATCCTGAGTCTAGGTTCGTCATCTAACATGTAGCCCTCATCTCATCTACACTTCCGTAGTTGCCCGTACACGTGTGAATTCCCTGCTTTGTCGGGCTTCCTGAACTTATTTAGAAAGCATTTTTTGGCGTTTTTATTGATGAACCAACATGTATGTAATATTTTAAGGTGAGGACGGCAGCCAATTTCGAGAATGCGAACCCAGGCATTGAAGTTAATCACTAGGTTACCAGTGATTAAGGTAGAGGTAGTAATAATTCAGTGTCGATTATTACTGTGTCAGCATTTTCGAAAAAATCACCCAAGGTTTCAAACTTGCTGACGGTGCCTGAAACTACACTCTTAGAGAGCGAACTGAGCCAATTGTCGAAATGATTCTTTCGTTGCATGACCATCCACAGTCCATGCATTTCTTGTCCAATATGAACATCTTTCCAACCCTTCCCTTTAATTCAGACCCGACGGTCGAACCCCAGGCGCTCATACCACAACATGGCGATGTGCGTGATCAACGCATCCCTGTTGGTTTACTGACAGACGTGATCTCTGCCTTCCGAACAGAATTGTCATCAGCAGGTGGTGAACAAACACGTTTCTGCGCATCGTCTTTAGATGGTCTGCGAGCACACTTACGTCATTTGCTCGGCCATGCGGAATCGGCCCTCGCTGCATCGCCGAGTGCGAACAACTTGGTGGATATGTTGGTTGAATTGGTGTTCGATCGTTGCAGTTCGGATGCTATTGGCTCACGATCACGATTGGAAGCATGTGGCATGCTTTGGGTTAGCCAATCTGGTGGTGAGTCAGCCGATCAGCTGATTGATATCCGGGCGTCATTAGTCCGCTTGCTTAGAGTGAGTCTACACACCCAAATTTACCCATTTTTCAAAGTTGCATTCCGAGTCAGTGACGAACCGATCGGCTTTGTTGGCCCTTTATTTCATTCCAGAGGAGTGGATGGCAGTTGCCTGGTCCTGAAGATATGAGGGAATGGTGGTGATTGTTTTTTCCACTTCGCACAAACATCTGGCTGCAATAAAGATTTATATTTTACATATGGACACTCCACAACCAAGAAATTCATGGTTTCAGTATATTCACAGCGCGCTGTTAATCGGACCCTCCTAACGGACCAATCTCCGAAAAACGGCAAATCTTCGCGTCTTCCAGACACCTTTATATATTTTACTACCAGATTTGCCCCCGGCATGTGACCTCCATCCAGTCCAGCTTTTTTCTAACGCACGAGATTCTTGCTGTTTTAACGAAGGTTGACCAACATCCATATTAAACTGTCTGATCAAACGTCAAACACACAGTGCAAGTACGCACGAATACATTCGAACAGACAACAGTAAAGCAAGCAGTGCATTTAACACTAATGATTCGGATCAGCCACTCAGCTACTGCACTATCCAACATGGTGCTTTCACCTCCGCCTTACGACCTTATGTCTTTACTTATTCAATCTGTCTATCCATGTCTATGTTTGGGATGCTATTCACGGCAAACACTACGGTTCGGTCAATGATGTAAAGAGAGTTCGAGTGTCACAGGAAAGGTCCTAGGAAGACATCCATACTTTTCCACCGCCTAAGATGAGATGCCTCAAACAACCCACGCGTTTGGGCTTAAACTAGCACGAGACAACCCCACCCCGAGTAGTGTGAGAACGGGCGATAGCGTTTCTCAGCTATCATCATCGTCATCATCATGGACAGCGCATCATTGTTCAACACTGATGCCTCGCTTCTCAGCGAGATGGCTCAGTGCTTCGAGCGCGAATTTATTGACCGAAGGTCCATGGTTCGAACCCGACCTCTGCCTCTCGACTTCCCCTGTCTAGGCTTGGGCAACCTGGCAGTATCCGAGCCCTCGTGCTTTGTTCAGGTGGCATGGTAGTTAGGCACCGAAAGTGGTCTACAACTGAATGATTTCATCTCAGCCATCAGTCCGAAATTTAATTTTGTTACCACTACTACAGTATTGAAAATTCCTAGGCCCTAATGAACAAAGTACGCTGTCAAGTCCTCGCTCGGGATCTAATAGGTCAACAGATCTCTTTGCTGATACGCCACCCTCACTGGACGTTGATGGTTGTTGTGTACGCTCAGCGCACACAACTCATTTCACTATCGTGATGTTTTTCAACCCGACTCAAGCTCACTCCACTTTCTCACGGTTTACTTCGATATCCTGATGATCCAGTATCGGTGCCCCGTGGTCATAATTGTATGAAGGTTGTGTTGGGCATGTAGTTGAGTCGACTGTGCTCCATATGATAAATTGTGAACAGCCGACTGTCTGACGGATTATCTGAATGAACAACCACCGACAAATCTGCATGTGTCCCGACCATTGTAATCTCCGCAGCATACAAGTACACTGTGGTGTGGGTGTCCATTAAGACTGACGCGTTTAATCGCTTCCTACAACTGTGTTGAGCGTCTGTTTGTTATAGCCTGAAACCCATGTCTTGCCGCCTCCTGCAAACATCGTCCGACCCAGCGCCAATCGTATAGCGATGGGCCTTTCTTGGTTCATGACTATTGTTCATTTTTAGACGACGCGAAGCAGGTCCTGATCCGTGGCCACCTCTCGGCTGAATAGTGAGTATCCGAAAGACGCTTTTTTTCTGGTTGAATGTTACTTTTGCAGTGGACAGGTATCACAACCGAACAGTTATGCTTCGCTCTATCAGTGAAATACCTAACTGCCAAAGACTTTTACCAATTATAGCTTCGTAGGTTCTCCGGACTACGAATTAAGTTAGTCGGCATAGGGGAGACTGAGATAGATTTAGTCTACGGGTTGATTCGTTTGAAATCAAAGCCGAAACCCAACTCAGGCTGAATCCAAAGTGTTTTTGTAGCCCTGACTAAGCGAAAAACTCCATATCCTATGTCGAAAAAAGGACGTAATACCGAAAACCGTGACATTTGGAAACGGTCAAATCTTAGTCCAGCTCATTCGCAACACTAAACTAGGCAGAATGTCAGTTATCGCTTAAACGAATTCAAAATCTCAGCGAAAATTTTCATACCCGTTTATCGGACTGGACGGTTGACATTGCAGGTATATATATTTTTAGGAAGCGGTTGGAGAACAAAGCTTACGGCCGACTTCAGTTAATCTCTGTCTTAGGATCGTTGACTCATATTGTATTTTCGCTTTCCAGATGAATTTGGCCGCACAACTTGAACTGTGGCGAACCAGCCCTACCAACTTCGGATTCGGTTCGACATTGCTTCTCACCCTGTGTGACTGCTTCGTAGATTTTCTGTGCCTGACTGATATCTTGGTTCATCAGCTGGCATGTTTCTCCAGAATCCCTTGCACTTTAGAAACAACAAATGAACGCCACTTCAAAGTGACAAACCGTGTACAGGATCTACTTCGTACCAGTAAGTTAACTCCATAGCTTACCTTATTTTATGTACCACAGCAATCAGGGCGATCATTTTGGTCGTCTGATCTTTAAGCCATATGTTCGGTTGCATACCACTTGAGACACCGCATCGGACAGGTGTAGCGATTGCACCTTAACTGCAGTGCGGATTGCTCCTCTGACCTGAACTGTACCGCTTTATGAACGCCGGAGATAGCTCAGTGGTTCAGGCGCGAACTTACTAACCGGAAGGTCTGTAGTTCGAACCCAACCTCAACACCTTGGGCCACATGGAAATATCTCAGCCTTGTTGTTCCTTTCAAGTAGCATGGTAGCTAGCCACCGAAAGTCCCAATCACTTTTAACCATCAAGACCATCGAAATTTTGGCGGCGGTCTGATTTATTTAATAAATAGATAAAAAGAGAGTCGTTCAGCTGTAACACCCTCTCGGTGCCTAGCTGCCAAGC